CCCAACAGGACTGATTGTGTGTTTCGGAATCTCTCTGCGTTGACATTGTAAGCAGCTTTGAGTCCATCGTTTTATATCTGAGTTAATCTTTGGTCACACGAAACGTTCAGTATTCAATTTAGTGGTGGCTCTGATTCCTGGATGTGAAAGTTCGTGCAGTTTCCGGAATACCTGACGTCGACAGGCTTGAGGGGCGATTGCTGCCCGCTGAAACGTCGAAAATAATAGATGCGTTAGAGGAAGAAATAGGTACGTGTTTGAGTATCAAGTTAGACTTCTCTTCGCAGCTTTTTATGTCTGCGTCGTCTACTTGTAATTTTGCGATTGTTTCCAGATCAATGTCTTGTTTACGTACCAAGGTATAAACATCCTTTCGTGATAATGCGTCGGCTACAACGTCAGTGTGTCCTTTGACAAATTGGATATCTGTTGTAAATTGAGAGATGTAACCCAATTGCCGTGCTTCTCGCGGTGAATGTCGGTCGTACGAAGTGTTGAATGAATAACATAAAGGTTTATAATCGGTCATGTTAGCAAACGTTCGCTCTTATAGTAAGAAGTTAAAGTGCTTGACGGCTAAACAAATAGCGAGTAACTCCCGTCCGAAAGTATTATAACGTTCCTAAGCTGGTGACAGCCTCTTGGAGAAGAACGCTATGGGAGTAGTCACGTTGTTTACCTGTTGTTGCAATACTGCCCTGACGGCCTTTTGAGATGCATCCGTACACAGAATCAAGTGGGTTGTGGGGTCTGAATTTAGGTGTTGAAGCATAGTGGCGTTAGCTATCATGGACTTCGCTTTCTCTAATGCCGTTTTGGCGTCAGGAAGTAGCTTGAATATTTGATTCTTTTCCTTCTTCGTACCTTTTTTGTCACTTTTCAGCATGTCAGTTAACGGCTGTAAAACGTCTGCACATGGTGGGAATCGGCGGTAGAAATTGCATGTTCCGAGAAAACAGCGTAATGATTTTACGGAAGTTGGCTTAGGGTAACTGATAATAGCTTCAACTATCTTTTGAAGTGGTTTAATGCCTTGAGAGTCAATGTAACGTCCTAAAAACTTCAAGGCTGTGACGCCGAATATACGTTTTGAAGGGTTGATAACAACGCCATGTTTTTTAAAACGTTCAAAGAGGACCTGAAGGTGCTGGAAATGTTCTTCTATTGATGAACTAGAGATCAGAATGTCGTCGATGTAGGCAAATACGAAATCTAAACCTCTTGTAACAACGTCCATGAATCGTTGGAATGTCTGGGTGGCATTTTTTAGTCCGAATGGCATTATTAGGAACTCAAACAGACCAGAAGGTATAATGATGGCTGTTTTTTCGATGTCTTCTGGTGCCATCGGAATTCGGTGGTATGCACGCACAGGGTCGAGTTTCGAGAAGATACATTTACCGTGTAATTTTAGTGAAAAATCATGTATGTGTGGAATAGGGTACTTTTCAGGAATGGCTTGGTTATTCAGACGGCGGTAATCACCACAAGGAAGCCAGTCTTGCTCTTTTTTTGGTACCATGTGCAGTGGTGAGACCCAAGAACTGTTAGATGGCCTAATAATACCAATTCTGATCATGTGTTAAAATTCTCCCTCAGCCGTCTGCAACTTGTTTGGTGGTAGTCTCCTCGCCCTGGCGCAAATGGATGGATCGGTGGTACTAATGTGATGTCGCACATCATGTGGGTTGCTTTCCTTTTGATAGTCTGCTTTAGTTATGCACCCGTATTTAGTCAGGATATCTTTCAAAATGTTTTTCACAGGTTTCATTATTCGTACACCATGAATTTCATAGTCAGTGGGTGTACCGTTCACCTGCAAACGTGTATTTTCGTCAATCAAATTCCTTTTGCTCGTATCAACTAGTAAACTATAGGCGCTGGGCAAATCGACCCCGAGAATTGGTTGCTTGACTTGGGCGACTATAAAAACACACGTAAATCTTCTACGGAGTACGAGATCTAATATGAGGGATTGTTCACCGTAAGTTCTAATGACCGTGTCGTTAGCCGCGATAAGAGACAGTTTGGTGCTTGTCGTTTGTTGTCATCGTGAGAGGTGAAGGGGGATGATGCTGATTTCTGCTCCTGTGTCGACTAAGAAGTCTGAGCCAGAAATACGACCCCTGATACGAAAAAGGCAGCTGGCGTGTTGGAAGGTAACAGACGCCGCCATTACTGTCTGACCGGCCCGTTTCCCTGTTTTTCATTATTATTGGTTGTGAAGTTCCACGATTGTGTGCAACGACGTGGTTTCTTACCATATTTCAGAAGATACCAACATATTCCATCTGCGCCTTTAGGTGAACGAGGACGCTGTCTGGACACTGATCTTTTTCTTGAAATGGATTTATTCGGTCGTAAATGGATGCTCGCGAAAGTATCTTGTAATGATGCTAACTGAGTTGTTAACTGCGTTAATTGTTGCTGGATGTTGAGTGTAGTGTTCGTATCGTCTTTACCGTAAGTTTGTATCGCATTTGAACAATGACTGTCAGGGTATATATCCATCATCTTTCCGCCATATGTGCTAGGTCTTCTGCATTGACAGAGCTTCCCGACACACTAAGAATCTGCCTGACGCTACGTGATAATCGCTGAAACCACATTTGTTTAAGTAATACTTCTGTAGGGAGCAATTTCCGACAGGTTTGATTCTGAGCTATTCTTTAGACCGTCGAATACAGAGTCTTGGTTTGGCCAAAGTCAGAACAAGCAAGCTATTTGGCTAGATAAACTTTATCTGTTTCTAAAACATAAATTAACATCGTTAGTGTACAAACAAACCGTACAGTCTATTAATACAGGGAAAAAACGGACAAATAACATACCGAACAGTAGCCAGAGAATAGGAAAAATGAGTCAACAAGCAAATATTGGTTTACAATGAACATTAAACTGTGATTGGTTAATAAAGAGATACAGTCGTATAAGGTCAAAAGGAGTTAATGTGGTGGTGGGCGTTTCCCTTTATTATTGGTGGGTTCGTCTATCGATCACATTTTACAACTTCATCTAATTTATATGGACCCGCTAACTGTTTCCTATGTCGTAGCAACTGCGACGGTCTCTTGTCCCCAAGTTCCCATGGTGTGAACAGTGGTTGTAGTAGTTTTTCACCAGAAAGTGATGTACGTTGGATTACGGCAGCTTTAATTTTATCATAAGGATCAGTCTCTGGTACATGGTCGATCAAATCCCCAGCTTCTGTAACGATTTCGATAGGAAGTGCGCCGACAACATAAACATATTCGGTCGCCTGGGAGCGTATGCTTTTCGCTAGGAATAAGGTTCTTACTTGCGCGAACCAGATCCTGGGGTTGTTGGCACCGTATGTCGTTAGTCTAAACTCGGAAAAGGCATTGACTGAGCTTAAAATAATATCATCTGAATGTGATGAGTTGAGGGGTACACTGTCAGCACTTAACAGTGTGTCAAGCTATGAAAGTAACACAACGGAAGGAAGTGTTCAAGGTCATACACTTAACCAAGACGTTCAATCATTTAATGATAAACGTACATGCAGTGAAAAAAATTGACAGAATAAATACAAACAACATCAAAAACTATTTACAAAATTAGCTTGTCTATTCGTGGCAAATGTAGAATCAAGTATTCTCGTCAGTTACATCAGACCATTGAATCGGCCTAGGTATGTGGGTGATGCCTTCGCAATCGTGTAAATGTTGTTCCACAGAGCTTTAACCAAACTGATCAACGCAATTGTATTCAACATTAAATGAACTTACGAAAATAAAATGGAACATAGTCAGCTATCATTTTATGTTGGTTAGTTAAAAGGAGTCCTGGTAGAAGTGTAATCTAACTACTTATCATAAACCAACGCACTCTATCGTTATATCGACTTCAATTCAGAGCACTCACTCAATGTAAAAATTCCCTCTAACTTTGTGTCTCTTTAGAAGAGCAAAAAAGATTATCGGATATGAAAAGAATAAGCGAAAGGCACGAAAGTATATGGACAAGATTTTGCAGTTCAATCGTTTTCCGACAGGTATAATTAAAAATGAAATGAAACGAAATGGTTTATTATTAAGTAGCAATTTGTCAGAGATTCTATGTATTAGTACGATAGTTCCACCATGACGTCATGGTACGACAGAACTTCGATGTATCGTAAAACACCACATAATGACATCATACTACAAAACAACAAACACACTCCAGTGTTAAAGTCAGTATAAAGGATAAGACGAGCTCTACCCTAACACAGAACTGTGTTCAAAGTTTAGTGTATGTCAGTCGTGATAATTTAGATATTGGATAATCACTTCGTGAACTACTGATTAGAGTCGAATACCACCCAACCAAATACTGAAAACCTAATAATCCTGCAGAACTTGTAGAATTTCAAATTAAATCAACAACAGTAGTACATGCCATTTACATATTAAAATATCGAAATTATGCAAACTGGTTCTTTTGATACCAATAATAGGGGATTTAGTGAAGTTCTCGAATATATGGCCAAATTCTACAACCCTCAGCAGAAAAAACTTTATTATCCATCCGACTTAGACTATCCATTCTTAACATCATTTCTCACTCTGTTTACATCTAACACCATTATAATACAAACGAATTTAGGTCTACCTTTTCATATTGCAAACGCAACACACATCAACAAAAAAGTACCTCATATACAAACCTCAATGACCGAAGTGGGATGACAGTGGATAAGTCAGACTGGTTTATGAATGACTACACAAAACAGACTTTGTTACTCTGTAATATTTAAGTTTGGATTGATTCATTTCTATTTATTTATTCTTTAAGAAAGCGGCTTACACTGAGGCACTATACTTCGTGAAATTTAATTTTTCTACTCATTGAGACAAAACGGATACATTAGGTTTATCATGAGAAATTTACATAATGTGCACCCTATTTGGATTTATATGGTTAAACTTTGAAAATAATTTGTTGTGAGACAACTTGTTTGTATAATCTTGCTTCGGTGGCAGAATTTTAAACTCAGCATGGTAGGTTGTATGTTGTTGTTGGATATCTTTTAGACTAAAATACGAGCGTCAAAGCTACGTAATAAACCAGAGCCTGAACTACAGAAGCAACTTGGAGAGCTTAAGACGGAACTTGGCAATCTTCGTTTGTATCGGGTAACGAGAGGCGCATCCTATCATGGAAAATTGAAGAAAATGTAAGTTTTATTGCTACCAAGTGTTATAAAAATCTCACTTTTAGCCGGACACTAAGAAAGTCCATTGCCCGTGTATATACAGTTATTCATCAGGCGCAAAAACTTCGCCAACGTGAAGCTTATCGTTCCAAGAAATACGTTCCCAAAGATTTGAGACCAAAGAAGACCAGAGCAATACGCAGAAGACTTAGTAAGAAAGAGCAGTCAATTCATTCTGCGCGTTCAATGCGCAAGGCACGTGCCTTCCCTCCACGTGTATTTGCTGTTAAGTGCTAAGTAATAAAAGTTTTGGTCAAAATCGGATCATGAAAGTGCTGTTTGATTTTACCTAAGTTCCTTATATCCTGGACGCTAGATTCGTTAACATAAACGCTGTTGTAGTTTGCTATGTGTCGGCTGCATATAAACTTGTACTGACTTGTTATATCTATGCTCATAAGTACCATCCCTTATATATATATATATATATATATATATATATATATATATATATATATACGCATACTGTATGTCTACTTTAAAGTCTGGTTGAATACGATCCACAAACTGCTACTTACTAAATATATCAGCGAAATCTGACCAATCATCAGTGATGTGATTTGCGTCGACTGTTGTGATTGTAGTGTCAGTATTATTATAGTTACTGATGGTTGTTCGCAATACTTTGAAGGATAACGATTTAATTCATGTTATACCTTGATTGATAACTTATAGTCACTGAACACGCGGTCTGTATTGCTTGTTTTCATTTTGGATATCTGGTCACAACTATTGGGGTCTCATAATGTTCATATTCGTCTGGCTTATTCAGCAGCTCAACTATCCATTCACGAGTGGAATGAACGTAAAAGCTTTTGGCTATAACAACTTTAAGATGTAAGTGGTTAAATTAGGTTGATTTGTCAGTTTTTTTGCTACTATGCATCTTGTTCTAGCAACTAGACAACGAAACGTTTACGCCTAGTAATTCGAAGTATCGGAGGCTGACTACTTTTCTTCATATGAAGTATCTGAGCTGTTTGTTCCTGCCTTTAGACTTGTTCGGATTAATAGTGATTAATATCCTTTATTATTCTACTAGAATCTCAACGTTTTTTACTGACCTAGAGATATTTTCCATACGGAAAAAATGGCTATCCATCTGTCATTAATCGTACTTTACAAACACGAATTTTCTCTATTTATCAACTTGAGATCTGGTGTTATCATTCGCCTGACCACACTAAAACTCTGTAAACATGTTGCATGTAACTTTAATCTTGTTTTTGTTCAGTTTGCGTATTAAATACTATGTACATATGATATCTATTACTAGTTTAACATTGCTTGTGCTTTGATGATATGTGCTGAGACCCCAGTTTGTTGTCAGTTGTAACAGGTTTCATTTCAGACTAGCTATAGTAGTAGTAGTGTTTTTGGTATGAAATGTACTAATAAGATTTTTTCTGGTCGTTGGGTAGGCGAATGAATGTATTCGGACAGTTCTGGTACTGTATCTTACGTCCCCTCGCTGCCTTATGAAGTGGATCTCAGAACATTGTTTACATTCTCTATTGCAATGCATGTCTGTGAACAGCTTGTTTTCATGTGACATGCACATTTTCGATTGCTATCAATGCACACTTAATTGTTAAAATTGGTTTCGTCCGGAAGATAATATATCTCTTAAAGGTTGGTTTATGTTAGCTATCAATAGCCTATCCTTGTACCAGATGTGTTATCTAGATATGCTTTGTATTGAAGAGCATCATACAACTAAACTGCGTGTAGTGTAGGTTACTTGAAGTTTTTAAGACGTGTACGACGTGTAAATTTGTGTTAGCTATAAACCATACTTCTGTGTCAGGTAGTAATAATATTCATTTGACTAAACTGAAGTTCGCGCATTGGGGAATGTTCATGAAGCCTTCTAAATGACTGAACTAAAGTGCTCGGTGTGTTTCGGACTTGGAAGCAGTTTTTGGACCTGGTAGCCCTTGAAAACTATACCAATTTATTCACACTACTAGCTGCGGGCTTGGCGGTTGTTAAACAATCTGCAGGACGCTAGTCGGCGTTTCCAAAGAAAACCCCGAACTCCAGACCACACCTTGGTTTTCAGAGTTGTAAAAAAATTAGAATACTGAGAAATCAAAGGTCACTCGGTGTAAACGACATGTACCAAACCTTTTCCAACGATCGATACAAATTTCCTTACAGGTTTATAACAGACATTCGTAGATGTTCTGTTATGTCTCTTTTCTTACGGTTATGACCCAGCTATTCCTATTGCTTAGTATTCTCGGACACCGATTCACTCGATAAGTCCCCAAATCAGAACACGGTTGAACAGGAAGAAATTATATTCCAAATAACAAGGTTAGATGGAAGTAAGAAGCGAGTCAGAAGCACAATAGGGAAAACGTCAGTATATTTATAGTTTTTACATAAGAAGATTCCAGAGTATTCTCCGACTATCGACTAGTACTGATTGGATAAGAATTAGCCAATCAGCATGCACCAAAGCAATCACGCATTGAGCATGCTTTAATCTAGTCTATGTCCCGCTAACATATTTGGTGATCATCAATGCAGAAGACATTATCTTTTCATCGTTTATTATTCACATGAACGGTTCGGACAGTAAATGTTTGGACGTGTTCTTATGAGATGTCCCATCTATTATTAGAGTTTGCAGCTGAGTCATTCTATTCGACGAAGAAGCTGACAAAATACTGGGTCATTTGGGCCCTTAGAATGGTCGTACAAGGTTTTAAATGGCTTTCCTTTAGTGATCTGGAATGTTGCTTTAGAACTAGTTTACGTCAGTAACTAAACTTACGTGATTTAAACTATCTGGACACTTTATTTCAACTCTCGTCAGCCCTGGTTGTTTGTTTTTAATAATGATCTTTCCCCATGGATTCGAAAGATACCTTGATATTAACCAACTTTTATCACGTTGGGCATAGGATTGTTTGTCGACATATAGGGGAGGGTGAAACTCAACAGTCTTTTCTGTATTACTCTGGCTGTAGAATCTCCATGCGTAATTCGATGTACAATGCTGATAGGAACAAGTTTCATAAATGTTGGGTATCGCTAGGTTAGAATTGTGTTGTACTGAACCATGTTGGCTGGTAAACGCAGACCACCTTGTTATCATAAACTTATTGATGACCAGTCAGTGGTCAGATATATTGAGTGATATGTCTCAATCAGCCGAAGGGGTGTTAATGAGTTCTTCTAGATGCTAAGTTCCAGCTTCTCTACCCATATACTGTTGTGTCTTTAAGTCCGGTTAGTTATCACGTGATTTATTCGCCAATCGAAATACGACTTAATCACTCTTGTACTGTGCCAAGTCAATGACGTTCGACTGGTCTTATCAACCTAGCGTCCTCATTGGTTATTTGCTCGCCTAATCCGTCCATCTGAGTCCAGAATATCAATAACAGCTTCCGCTATGCTAATCATTTCTCCAGACATACTTGGTTTATATACCAACCAATAAATAGGAAATAACATTTATACACAATAAAGCCAAAAAGTGGATGTGAACATGGAAGACAGTAATTAATAAACTGAGTATAAGTTAAGAACAGTAAGTTTTATAATAAATTTTAGGTCAAAATGAAGTTTATAAGATGAATATAGATATACACAGTCAAGTTACTGAATAGTTATAAAATAAGAATATATGTAGAATTGTTAGCGGGACATAGACTAGATTAAAGCATGCTCAATGCATGATTGTTTTGGTGCACGCTGATTGGCTGATTCTTATCCAATCAGCACTAGTCGATAGTCGGAGAATATTCTGGAATCTTCTTATGTAAAAACTATAAATATACCGACGTTTTCCCCTATTGTGCTTCTGACTTGCTATTTGGAATATAATCTTTTTCCTGTTCAACCGTGTTCTGATTTGGGGACTTGTCGAGTGAATCGGTGTCCGAGAATACTAAGCAGTAGGAATAGCTGGTTCATTAACGGTAAGAAGAAAGAGAGAGTTATAACAGTGGCGACGGGGATGAACTAAAGAAAAATGGCGATTTCTTTAGAACAGTTGCGGTTAATATTACAGCACCAGCAGAAGTTGTTAGCCTTGCAACAACAACTATTGAGCACACTTTTCACTCGACCAGAAAATAAGAAATCTGTTTATGATGCAGTAACAGACATTTCAGAAGCATATCTAGTGGAGGGTTCAAATCCCTTTATACCTGAATCAGAACGTAATATTTGTAACGTTTCCGGCTCACAGCAAGAAAATCCTGTGCTGAATGCTCATAAAGTTGTGGCAATACGAAATGATCAAGAGCCAGACCCTGTAGATGAAGCCCGGAGTCCAGAATTGAATGAAGCACTACTGGTCCTGTCTAGCTCTGAAAATAACTTTCAGCTAGAACAAATTTATGGTCCACGTGATATTAGCCAAGAAAGCTATGGGGACTCGTATTCAGGAAATAACTGCAGTGACACGATGAACCCAATTATACCGAATGTTACTCAAAATCATTGTGAGACAGAAACTTATATTGAATCAGCTTATCCGATTTCTAATGACAATGTATCAGACATGGGTTCTCAGAACAATGCATGTTATTTTGATGAAATTTCTCATAAAAATCAGGAAAATATATCAGCTGGGTCAAATTATGGTCAAAAGTCTAATTTAATTTTGTTAGATGATGATTTCCGTAATGATCCATTATCCACTGATGAAATTCCTAATGGATTTGAAAGGAATGCTTCAGAAGAATTAAACTTTGACCTCAAATCAAAGATCGTTCATAATCATCTAGTCGTTTCTAGTGGATCCGACATTCAATGCGAGAAACGTCGTTTAAATAAAGTCCTATTATTTGTAACTTGGAGATATAAGGATCCGACATTGTTTCGCGGAGGAGGAGAATGTTGGAGAATTAAAAGTTATGCATACTTTTTTTTAAGAAAAATCAAAACGCCGGGAACAGACATGTCAGTCTCTGTGCAAGGAAAAAGTGATAATTCTTCATTGCCTAGACGATGGACTAATCGAAAGCACAAGCCAGTCACTCAGTTGCAGTTGGACCCTAGCACCAGATCCTACGAATCTGCTCAGAGGGGAGGTGTTAGCGGGACATAGACTAGATTAAAGCATGCTCAATGCATGATTGTTTTGGTGCACGCTGATTGGCTGATTCTTATCCAATCAGCACTAGTCGATAGTCGGAGAATATTCTGGAATCTTCTTATGTAAAAACTATAAATATACCGACGTTTTCCCCTATTGTGCTTCTGACTTGCTATTTGGAATATAATCTTTTTCCTGTTCAACCGTGTTCTGATTTGGGGACTTGTCGAGTGAATCGGTGTCCGAGAATACTAAGCAATAGGAATAGCTGGTTCATTAACGGTAAGAAGAAAGAGAGATTATAACAAGAATATTGGTCCATTAATATATCTCTGAAGTTACTCGTAGTTTAATCTTCACTATATATATTAGTTTTTTTTCTGACCATCATTCGAATGTTCAGTCCTTCTCACTATCCTTCATACGATTATCATTTTGATTAGTGATTCCAGTGGTTGTGGACGGAATAGAAGAAGCTTTCGCTTAACAGGCTTCCGTGTCTAGTAGCAGGGGATCACCAAATCCTCCAGGCAGGAACCTAGGTATGTCAACAATAAAAGAGGAAAAGAAATTGGTAAATCATAGTGTGATGCTGTCCTTGGTCCTTAAGAATAGGTCAAGTTGCCTCTTTGAGTACTCCTGAGAAGTCGCTTGGACTAGCTCGGCTGGCAGCGAATTACAGCTTTTGACAACTCTTAAGGAGTAGAAGTTATGTCTACATTCCGTTTTGCTATGTTGTGTTTCCAGTTTCTGGGTGTTACCCCTT